AATTATCACAAATAAAATAGAACTTTCGAATGCATATGGGGGTAAATGTTTGTTTAGCCATAACTACAAACAAAAAGTCAAATATTAATGTAAAATTCAACTGAAGGATATAATATTGCTGAAAATTTATTCTTACTAACAAATTTTTAAGTTTCATATACATTTTTATTGAGAAATTTAACTAGAAAGAATTAATTAATTTCAACCGTCGTCTTCCACATAAACTCAGTTCAACCTAATACCGTTATACGGTTATACCTCCATACAAGTATATTTTTTTGTAATGATAGTAGATGACTTTGATTTGATAGATCCTTTTATGGAAAATTTATTTAATTTTGAGCTTCAACATTAATCTCATGATGATCATATTATTAAAAAGTAATATTGATGGAACATAACAATAATCACCTAATTACGATCAATATAATTGAGTAGTGATCCGTACAGCTGCATAACATTTTAATTTGTGGAATATGCATTATGCCATTATATAGCTTAGAGTCTTAACTACGACAATGTCCCTTGTTGTGTTGAAATTGCCTGCCTTGATTGCTTCGTTTATATACGTGTTTGCTCACTTCGTTTAACAAGTTGTGCTGTCGGCTGTCCTACAAAAATCAATTATCCTAATCATTTTCACAGGACATAATAAGACTAATAAGTATCACAAATTCACGATTATTTAATTAATCTATATCTATGAAGCCCTTTATCGATACTTCACTTATTAAAAAAAAAAAAAAAAAAAAAACTATTATCCTTTCAATCAAATTTAGCTGTCATATTATTTTATCAAACTACACAATAAGTATAATTCGAAACAAAGGTGATATAAAAGACTAAAGTAATCCCCCTATCCCGATAATGTATTTGTTAATCATTAAATACATACTATTTGCATCCTTTTCGATTTGATACTTATCTAGCATAAAATGTTAACGTCAATTTGAGACAAACGACATATAATGGTTGAAAAAATACTAAAAAATACTAACCCAAGTGTTACGTTAGTTGAATGGAGTTCACAAGTATCCATGAATTTGTTATACAAAAGAAAGCCAACAATATTGTAACAATTGAAAATGTGTCAATAATAGCTGATTATTATAAGCATAGTGCGAAATTTGTAGCTCCTGAGGCTTTTCTAGTTGTTTTCATTCTTTTTATTCTTTAGAATGATGCAATAATTTACATTATATTGTGGTTTGGATGGTAGTTGCTATTTTGGTTATCCATTACCTCATCAATCCTCATCTTCATTCTTCTTTTGGTTTGGAATAAAAAGTAAGTAGCTTTTCGTTTTTCGTGGCTGGTATTAATATTCCAAAATATATTCCTTATGATTAAATTTCCCTTACAAATAAATAAATACAAGTACTATGTTTTATTAATAAATAAAAGATACTAAAAGCACATGATTGATATCATTTTTGTTTTGCACAAGATTACTCAAACCAGTCTTTTATGCATGTAAGTACATGAAACAAGACTTAGGAAGGCAGGAATCACCCATCTACGACAAATCGATCTATACCCCGTTCTAAACTTGTGCTCTTCAGTTCAATATCTGCAAAAACGTTTGAAACTCCATTTGGTTTATTTTACTTTGCGAAATTCACAATTCTTTGAGATGGATCAATTGGCATCGTCTTTGCCAATTTTTTCGTCTAATTGAATTTAAGAATTTTAACAGTATATTTCCTTCCTATAGTAAATACTACTATCGTACACCAAAATATACACAAAAATAAGTACTCATACGAGCTAGAATAACACCCATATGTTCGTGTGTGATGTACCTAGACATAAAACATAAAGCATTACAACTATTCTAATTCTCACAAATTCAACGCCCTTTGAGTCTTCAATATTGAATTGGGATATGGTGGTGTTTCATAATACCGTGACATCCATATCTAAAGTCGGCCCTTCTTTTTTCCAAGTTTGTTACGGTAAACATGATGGGCTTGAAATTAACTTAGAAAATTCTTGTTTTAGTGGTTGGATAAACAAAGGAGACCACTGCTAATCTGCTATATAAGCTGACTAATGCAATTTGACCATACAGCAGATTCGATAATGCTCATGTTCACTTAAGATGGCTAGGATTTAAGCTCGTGGTTACGACTTTTTTTCAACGATAAATAAAGTCCAAAGAATTGACTTTCAAACTTTAAATATACAGATATAGATATTTTTGTAAGGATTGGGGTACATTTTGGCCAAATCAATGTGCTCACTTAGTAATTTGAATAATTAGTGAGTAGCATGGCTTAATTAGTATATTAGCAGCCGGTACTATTGGTTTTGTTACATGCTAGGCAAAAATGTTACGTAATTAACTTACATTAAAATATGATGATTGTTATTGTATACATACTATACCATTAGTATTACTACATGCTAATTCTTGTAGTGTATATATTACTCCCACCGTATTATATTATTTGTGGGCGTATTTTTTCTTAATTATACATACATTATGTTTGAAATAAAGAAGTATTATCACTTGTTGATTCAGAGTACCAATGCAATGTTATTTGTTAGTACTGCTGAGTATAACTCCATAATGCAGTAGTAAGGTTTATTTAGTTTGTATATGTATATAGATGGAGCCATGGATGGGGTAATCGAATTTGAGGGGTGATGGACTGCCTCGGTTGGCCCGAATATAGGCCATCATAAGAGTATAAGACTAAATTTACCATTCAACAAAATTAACTACATTAATTTTAAGGTGTATGTCCTGTTTGATATACTACTAAATAAATACGTAGTAATAGAATTGCAAAGATAAATAGGCTAATTGATTTTATCCTTGCCTTGCGGATTTTGGACGGGTGGTAGCCCGGTAGGAATGCATCCCTCTTTACTTTTAGCCTTTTAGGTGTTAACTACAATGGCTAGGAGAAGGAAGTCGTAGACTAATAACTTTAATCATATTTTGTTACTATTAATTATACTGTATTAACATGATTGTTCCTTCGCAATTTACTACGAAATAGGTTAGTCTCAATATATATTTTCACAAATATTATTATAATTATATAATTATAAATGATCAAAATTGTAATTTGGTAAACGTAAAGTACAAAATGTTACATGTTCCATGTATTAAGATTTTGTCATATATCAAAGGCTCAAAGGCCTCGCAATCAGATTGAATTGGGCGAGACATGTAGATAATCACTCATCAACCTATACCAACCTTTTTGGGATAGCCTAGGTAGCCCAACAAGCATGACCCTAACTAGTAGGATTTGTTTTTTAGTTTTTATCACTCTCTTTCGATCAAAATGTTAATCATATTGTCCCTAATGTCAAATGACTCATATCATATGGAGTATTACCTAAAATTTTGCACTTAAAAAGGATTGTAAACTTAAAAGTTCTTCTCGGATCAGTATTTCATTTAGCTTTTGAAATGTTATCTTCAATCATGTACATATAGATGGGTTTTTTAAGAAACGATTTATTATTAGTGATTACACATTAATACAACAAAAAAAATAACATTGAAGTTTTATTTCCAATGATGCGACAAGAACCAATTCTTCACCAACCGTATCTGATAACCATAATGTCTATGATCTTCTTCCTCTGTTCTATTCTCTCAAGTGTCAATGTGTCCTTTAAACCCAATTTCTTCATATCATTTTTAACTCCTTCCATCTAAATCGTCCTAATCATCCTCGACCTTTCTAAGATTCTCACGATTGACGATCCTTTCTATTTTACTTTCCTTACTAGCCCTTCTTTTGGTATCCGTTTCACATTCTCAAATTGGATAAACTATACATGTGCCAACAGGCCCAACATAATACTTGCCCTGACGACAACTTCACGAATACCTAATTACACCTCCACAACAAAAATGATCTGACTCCCAAAATGGGCAACACATATTTTTAGCTACAATAGATGTCTCACCAAAATTGAAAAGTCCAAAGTAAAGGTCATCTAAAACTTATATAGAATCAACTTAAAACTTTAGGAACAAACATTTTTTTAGCAAATTTGGGTATGGGCCGCTTAGCTGGAATCTTCACCATGCTCATCCCATTATCTTTCCATTATGTTGGGCCGCATACAAAATACAATTAACATACTTAATTATCCATGCCTATTAATGTTTTAGCTTCTTTTTTACTTCCACTATCCTCTAGTTAGTAAAGAACTAAGGGGTCGTTTGGTTCACTAAGCTAAAATGGATTGGTATAGATTCTCATACTTAGGTGGTATGATATCCCATACCAATCTAAAGTTGTTTGGTTTAATCATGAAATAGATTCTCATACTTAGGGAATAGATTCCCATACCAATGGATTATGAATCCTTAGGGGGGAGGTGGGTATGAAATTCTAAGGAAATAGGGTGGAGTTAGAATCCCCCAGGTATGAAATTCCATACTTAAATGACCCAACAAAACAAATAAAACCACGGAATAGAATCCATTCCAAGAAGTTCAACCAAACAGCCAATAAAGATGCTAGAAAGTTAGAAACTAGAAACTAGAAATTTATAAAAAAAAAAGAGATAAGGGCAGCTACATGCTATATTTTAGCAAATTTTGGGTATGGGCCGCGTAGATAATCAACCATACTAAGCCCATACCTTTCCATTTTGTTGGGCCATATACAAAAATACAATTAACACATTTAATCATCCAAGCCCATTAATGTTTTAGCTTCTTTTTTCTTCCACTAGTAGATGGTAGAAGACTAGAAACTAGAAATTTAGAAAACAAAGATAAGGGGCTTGGTATATGTTATCCAAAACAAAAGGAGCACAAACCACAAACTATCCACAAACTGTTCTTATTTATCAGCAATGCCACGTCACACTGCCATTATCTGACACATAATCACATCTGACCTATCGTAATAAGGTAATAGATTATTTCCTCAGACATTCCACCAATCAAAATACCCAATTAAGATTCCTAGGTGGCACCCCCACATCCACCGAAACAAGCATTAAGATCAACCATTTACATTGTACAAACTCATACAATCACTCTTACAACCCCAAAAAAAAAACACTAAACTTCTAAAGTTCTAAATCTTAACATCCACCGTTAGGGGCGGCAGTCATGGCTTCGGTGGCGGCATCGACAGCGGCGGCGTGTCTAGGAAAGTCTGAAATGTTGGGAAACACATTCAACTTAAGAAGTGCTACTTCCGCCCCTAGTAGTACTACTAGTGTTGGTCCTTCTAAGATTGTGGCTCTTTTTGGTAAGAAAAAGGCGGCTGCTCCTCCTGCTAAGGCTAAGGCTGCTGCTGTTTCGTCTGCCGATGATGAGCTTGCTAAGTGGTATGGCCCTGACCGAAGGATTTTCTTGCCTGAGGGTCTTTTGGACCGTGATGACATTCCTGAGTACCTCAACGGAGAAGTTCCCGGAGAGTAAGACTTTTTTTACTATCTTACGACCTCTTTTTATTGTTTTTATTTACAACGTTTTGACTTTTGCATTATTGACTTACCATTTAATTTGTTCCATCTATCTCATAATCTTTGAATAGATGGTTACATGTCAATTATTGTTGAATATATTACATTGACAAACATGAAAGTAAACGTTGCCAGTGGAGGAATTATATATGTGATTATGTTTAAGAACGAGTATCTTAAGTAGTGATTAGACTTTGCTAGTTCTAATCATATATTTATAATTATGCAATTTTTACAATATAGTTCTATCATAGATTCATAGAAAGTATGATTAGTGAAATTATATATTCCGTGCTACGTAGCTTGGACTCAGAATTGCTTCAAGTAGATCGAAGTTCATAAAGTTATTTTGTTAGTAATACTATGTGTACTTAGAATGGTTTTCATCTAGAATTTTGTTCTATTTGTTTCAGAATTTATGAAAAATCAAATGTTGCCTTGCTTGACATAGATGACATTGATTTATTGCAGCTATGGTTACGACCCTTTTGGTCTTGGAAAGAAGCCTGAGGACTTCGCCAAGTAAGCAAACTCTTCTATTGAAAAAACATTGATCATATATATAAATTGTATATTATAGGTGCTTACTGCTTAGCTTGTTCTTCGTATATGTCAAGTATTAATGATATTTACTTTGCTCAGATACCAAGCATATGAGTTGATCCACGCCCGTTGGGCTATGCTTGGAGCTGCCGGGTGCGTTATCCCCGAAGCCTTCAACAAGTTTGGTGCTAACTGTGGTCCTGAAGCTGTTTGGTTCAAGGTGAATCTTTGTAACTCAAATAAGCTTAACTTTAATTTCCTTGAATTCTTGATTAATCTTTCATTGGTACATGTTACATTGTTACTTAGATTGTGTAATTGTTGTTACTTTTATTGATATTGTACAGACTGGTGCCTTGCTTCTAGATGGAAACACCTTGAACTACTTTGGAAAGCCTATTCCCATCAACCTTGTTGTTGCTGTTGTTGCTGAGGTTGTTCTCCTTGGTGGAGCTGAGTACTACAGAATCATTAATGGCTTGGTATGTCCCCCTTTCCGATCCTCCGGTTTTCTTCTCCTCTCGTATGTACTTCATATGGCATAATTTCATTGAAAAGATTGTATTTTCTTTTCTGTTTTAGCTATCACATTACTAGTTCAAATTAAATTGTTTACATAACTATATATTTTGAACGAAGATAGTTAATAAAATAATATAATTAATTACAATAAGTAAGAATTATACAACGGTGTTGCTCATTAGATTGTTAATGGTGAACATTTTACGGTCATGCCACCCATCTAACTTGCTCATAGCCCGTGTTTGACAAAATTAATTGTTGTATTAACAGTAAATGTTAATCGTCACTTGTCAGCTAATAACTCTTAAATTTAGCTATCAAAATACCTCTATAGGAAAAAAAAAAAAAAAAAAAAACTCCCAACCTTAAGGCTTAGCTTACTAAGCGTAGGTAAAATGAATTGTTTATATGACTAAAGTGCTTCATCAATTATCTATTGTATATTTGTATGTATAATTGAAAGATAGTTGAGTTGAAAGGAATTAATTATATGGACAATTTCTAACAATATTTAAAATAAATGGTTGGCAGGATTTGGAAGACAAGCTTCACCCAGGAGGCCCATTTGACCCATTGGGCTTAGCCAATGACCCAGACCAAGCAGCCTTGTTAAAGGTGAAGGAGATAAAGAATGGTAGGCTGGCAATGTTTTCAATGTTCGCCTTCTTTATTCAGGCTTACGTGACAGGCCAAGGCCCAGTTGAGAATCTGGCTGCTCACCTTAGCGACCCATTCGGTAACAACTTGCTCACTGTCATTTCTGGAGCTGCTGAAAGAGCTCCCACTCTATAATCTCTTCTTAGTGCCCACTTTTTATTTGTACATTTTCATCCAATTAAAAAAAAACCTACATTTTGCATGAGGAATGTTAATGTTAATGTTAATCTGTCTACTACTATAATTTTCAGATGAGACCTAATTGTGTTTTCTCTTATATAGTGTGATGCCGTTACCTATTTATTAATTGTCCTCTAATCCAATCTTGCCGTTTTTTTTTGACAAATTTGTCAAAATATCCCTCGATTTTTGAAAACAGGATTTCAAAAATCAAGATGTAATTTGGCATAACCTTTAGACTATCATTGAAAATTTCGTTCTTTTCTAAAAGTCTTTCTAGTTGGTTAGAGTATATCCATACAGTAAATATCAAGTTTATCATGTTTATGCATTGTGTAAGATCAATTAAATAAACACTCTTGAAATTGGTGATTTTTGAAGCAATGTTTAGTTAAAAAAAATGGTGGGTAGTAAACCCAAGAAAAAGGTGTTAAATAATGGTAACAATCCCGAGTATCAATCTTGGATCCAAAGTTCTCAATTAGTGTGATTATTTGATTACATAATAAAATAAAGATTAGAGTGTTTTTGCAACTTCTAAGATACCCTTCACCCCTCTAAGATTCCCCTGTTAAATTACGCTTAGAAATTTTGATTTATTCACGGTTTTTATGGAGTTGACGAAAAGAGTTTATAAGTGAGAACAACGTGAAAAGTATAAGTGTAATACTCTGTTACCTTGATCATCTATTAGTATGATATTCAATGAATATGGTCAATCATAAGTGAGAACAATCCTAGATGAACGGAGAGAAAGTTGACACTAGTGTAGCTCGATCATATTATTCAATAGTAAATTAAAAGGGAATAAAGTGAATCAATTATGAATATGGTCTTGAATCTTGAAGGCTGAACCTCTGAATAATTAGGAAACCATTTGAGAAAAGAGCACGTACCAACACCGTACTCTGTACTCAATAGTAGTACGTGTTGTTCTATCCTCACACTATACGCTGTCATCCCACAAGACCGCGACCACCCGATTCACAGGCACCATCCGTCCATCCCCCAAATGTCACTAAACGTTAATTTAGGAATGCTCAAAGAGCAGCAACATTATCGTCTGATGCCATGCATCGTACAAGTATTACGTAATTCCCTTCGTTTTTTATTGTTCTTATTATTGTGACGGTAAATAGTGTATTTTATGCTAATAATACCAGTATTGTAATTACTCTGATTAATAGTATCTTAACATTTATTAATATCTATATTATTGGCATATTTGATTAAACTTATCTTTTAAATTACTCAATTTTCCTATTTTAATTCCGTTTATTAGTTTTTTGTATGATACGGAGTACAAGAGTAGTGTGTTACGGAGTACTGTTGACGTGACAAATGATGATAATATCTGAATAAAATTCGTTAAGGTTAATAATGCTTTGGTCAAATTATGTAAAAACAATAATTTAGTTAGAGTCAACTAAAACAAAGAACTACAATATTTTTTTATATAGAGCGATTTAGTCATAATTTCGTTCATTAAAAGGCTCGTAGTTTGTATAACTTTAATATCTTTTAGATGAAAGCCCGTGCGATGCATAATTTCTCATACATATATCTCAAGAAAAAATATTTTCCTATATACTCTAAGTTTTTTTTTATAATTATTTGATTTATTTTACAATTAATAATTTCAGACAAAAAAAAACAAATAATAATTTAATTAAAATGATATTGCCAATTACAAAAGTATAATTTTTTTAATGTAATTTATAATGCGACTTAATTTATTGTTGTTTTGTATTTTATTCATTGTTGTTAGTTATATGACAATAATATGATATCTTTCAAAAAAAAATAAAAAATTGTAAATATGATATGTCATTGATTACATATTAGGATAAGATCTTTAATATGAAAAGATAATAATTTTTTATATTAAAAATAATTTAAACCCTAAATCATTATTCATTGCTTTTTACACTTGAAATTAAACTCTCAAATATATATATCATTTTGTATATTTTTTGTGATCTCTTGATCTCTAACAAATTATCTGTCTTTTCAATTTTTTAGACATAAAATGTTTAACGAAGGTAATTTTTTTTATTGCGTTATAAGTTTAAAACTTTTTTTTAGGAAAAAAAATCTTAATAATCGGGTATTTAGATAAAACCATTAATTTCATAAGATAATTTTTATTTTTTTTAATAATTTAAATCCTAATATCCCACAGTTTTTATACATAAAATCTCATAAAAATAATTTTTGTAATTAGATCATACTCATAATATTTTTTTATTACTTTGCATTGTTTTTTAAGGATAATTTTTTATTAATTTTATGTAATTTATTCCCCTAATAAATATTTTGATAAGAACATTAAAAATAATAGTTATTAGATGTAATAATTCAATGTAAAAAAATTTGTATTAAAAAAAAAATTCGATAAGATCACCAACTTTGTTCACATCCATATCTCTTCCATCTAATAAAAGAGGAAAAATTGAACATGTTAGCAAAAATAAAATTTATATAAAATTAATCTTTATAGTCTTATAAAATAAATTATAATATTTACCAGAAAGTGAATAATTGTTGTGAAATTAATCTAAAAATTGTAATTATACAAAATTAAATCTATGCATTGGATTTTTTTCATCATCCCCAATCGCCCAAACAATAGTATTTTGGAAAATTGAATCATTATTTTGTTGTCGTTGACAATGCATGCGATATTGCTTCTTATTTGTAACGACCGAAAAGTATCTATTGGAGTAAACTTTTCCTTCAATCAATTTTGAACAAAATTGTAGAACAAAGTTGACTTTAATTGAGGCATGAACGTAATCACCCTGTAATTAAAAATAAAAAATTAAGTTAATTTTATGACTTAATTAAGCTACCTAAATCAAGAAAAATTTGTTTTAATCATAAAATTAATTGATAAAAACTAAAAGATTCATTAAAAGATTTAATAAATGTAAACGATTTATAAAGATATAATACCTCATCATCCAATAGGATCATCAGACGATAAACTCGTACTTTGATATTCCAAAGATTTTTGCTCGAATATAATTCTCTGATTAAATTAGATCTGCATGTAAAAACAAAATTCAGTAAATAAAACATAAACATATAATCATTAAGTATCCCAAATAAACACAATTTAAGCAATAATCACAAATATACATTTAAACACGGGTTTTAAAAATTAGGCTAAGAATTACCCATACACTGATGGCCTAATAAAACTGACACAAAATTAATAACACAAAATTTGCTTGGTTTGGTTTTGTATTGATACGAAATTTTGTTAGTGTCATATGATGCGTCAATATATAATGGTAAATATCATAAATTTTTATTTAATTATAATTAAGGAATCATTTTTATTTCTTATCATAAATACTATCAAAATTTATCTTATAATAGTAGGTATATAAATCCTATATCTAAAGAAGATTATTTTAAAAGATAATTTTTAGTTTTTTAAATAAATTAAATCCTAATAAATCAATATTCATTGTTTTTACTTACGTGGCAAAATTCTTAAATCTCATTCGTCACTTTTGTTTAGGTGGCAAAAGAATTTTTTAATTCCAAAATAAAATAGAAATCTAATTTTTAATTGGTCGAAAATATACCTTTGCTTATGTGACTATATATATATATTATAGATATATTAGATTTAAACCGTTGTAAAAACAAAAAAAAGGGCAATTATAATTTTTTAACCTACTTTTAATTATGAGTATATTTCATTACTTTAAATGAAAAATTGTAATATTTTCTTAAACAAACAACTACAGAATTGCTGGATTGAGTTTATTCCTTTATGCCATGCAAAAGTAATGATGCAAATACCGTAAGAAAGTAATAAGGAAGTAAAAAATTATTCATTTAAATAGTATGAAGAGACACGAAGTAGTATTCCATAGTTTATTCTCACCTCAACATTCAAATCAATAAATCATACATGTCTCTAAAGTCGCTCAAGGGTATAGTAATGTCAAATGTGTAAACTATCCTCGCTCATACGATCAAGTTTACTGTTAACTAATTTGTGTCTCTCCATTTTTCTAATATAGTAACAAAACAATAACGAACTCAAGCAAACTTTTCATATGATCATAATAAACAATGAAGCAATAGTTAATATTACCTCTATACTACATCCATTCCTGAAAGTTCGACTCACTTACTATTTATGCGGTCAAAATAAAATAATTTTTGACCACATTTTATGATTTATACAATCAAAATATATTAACAAGTTTGATCTTATTAAATTCCCCTTATGATAAAATTTTCAAATATCAAACTTTATAAAAATTTTACTTATGCATAGCCAAAGTTATTAATGGTCAAAGATGTTTATTGGAAACCGTGCAAATACAAAGTGAGTCGAACTTTCAGGAATGGAGGGAGTATATAAGATGATTCTATTGTAGTCTTATGACTTTTGACTACCACAATTTTTTAAAATGGACGGTTGAGATTATTTGTTTTTATTTATTTATTTTAATTAGTAATTTTATTTTTTTTATAATTATTTTAAATATATTTTTATTTTCCAGAAATTATTTTTTTAATATTTTCGAAATTCTAGATATAAAAAATATATATAAAATAATTAAGAAAATAATTTTTAATTAAAATTACTCATTAAAGATAAATCAAAAGTCAAACAATCTCAGTCGTCCATTTAAAAAAAAATTATGGTAGTCAAAAGTTATAAGATTACATTAGAATTTTCATAATATATGGTAACACCAAGCAACAACAACAATATTGCCCCCAATTAACCCACAGTCCTATATAATCCATCCTTTAGCGTTTTTAAGAGGATGAAATCAACAATATTTGAATTTGGTAGGGTAATTACGACGTTGACATATGTTATGAGTGAGTAGAGGTGTCAATTTGGATAAGCGAATGGGGTTAAATTTGGGTCGAGTCTATTCGGGTCGGGTATGTTCGGGTTGGATATATTCAGTTCAAAATTACCCTGTTAACCCGCTTTGGGTCGAATTGGATCACTTTCGGGTGGGGTCAAATTCGGGTCAAGATCTGTCAAGTCCAGATTAGGTTTGGGTCGGGTCAACTTCAGATCGGTTCATATTCGATTCAGTTACAATCAGATCGGGTTCAAAACGGGTTTGACTGGGTTAATCTCGGGTCAGATGACTTTGGATCGGGTTGGTTTCGATTCAATTGAATTCGGTTCTGATAAGTTTGGTTTGATTACTAAAATTGATTCTAATTTAGATACTTTTTGTGTTTGGCTGAATTTTGGCTGGGTTGACCAAATTTAATATTCAAACAAGTACAATTTTAAATTCAGAGTAATTATTGAGGTTTTTTTTATCTTGTTATTGGGTCGATATCAAGTTATTCATGTGTCATTTTTCCATGTCGTGTCATTAATATATGTTTAAGTAAAAAATAAGGTAAATAATAAGTTAGGTTTAAAATTATGGTTAGTTTGAAATCATGTCAAGTCAAAATCGAGTCGGGTTAAAATCGGGTCGGGTTAATATTAGTTCGGGTAAAAAACAGATCAAATTGAATCGGGTGTTTGTCGGGTCAACTTTGGTTCAGATTGAGTTCAGGTCGGGTCAAACCAATTTGATTTGAATTCAATTGGGTCAAATCGGTTTCGGGTTGAGTTCAAGTCGGGTCAAATCGGTGTCGGGTTAAGTTTAAATCGGATCAAATTCGGATTCGGGTTGAGTTCAGTTCGGTTACAGGTCGGGTTTGGGTGTTGAGTTTCTCGGATCAAATCAAATCAGTTACAGTTCAAAACGGATGGTTTTTTTGGTTCGGTTCGATTTTGACACCTCTGTGAGTGAGTGAGTGACAAGCTAGGGTGATGAGGATAAGAGGATTTTTTTGGTGTAAGATTAAAATTATGGTTTTTTCCTTATTTGGTTTAGAAAGGTGGCAAAGTTACTTAAAATAAATTCCTTATTAATTCTCTCCGTTATCCTTTTTAATTTAGGGTAAAATAAAACTTTTCTCTCACATCCTTGTCTACTATTTCTATTTGACCTCCTCTAAAGGATTAATTTTACAGTATAAGGTAAGGATTAATCTCTAGATCTTTCCCCTCTGATCCTCATCCAGCCTCCAAGCTAATACTAGACGACCTCTTTATTCATATCTATTTTCCCTTATCCCCTAAACAAACTTCATCTAAATTGTATTATGTTGTATTATGTTCAACATATTTTTGACTTATTGTTGTTGTAAGATTTGGGGGGAGAGAGAGATGACATACTCTTTGAAGTATAATACTATACCTAATCTTACCTACTCTATTTACGACACAATAATTACGAAAGTAAAGATTGTATATACCACAAAAAGAGAAATAAATGATACAAAATGTGAATTTGGTGGCAATTTCTAGCCAAGTACGTTTGAATGTGAAATATCTTAGTATAAAGCTTCCCTTGACCAATAAATACAATATCAATAAGCATTATTTAATTCAATCAGTGTATTAGTAGAAATTTATACCGTACAAAGTATTTCACGACCAATGCTGCGACTTGTAGTATCAAATCGCATAAAATAGAGTCTGTTGTCATGTTAAGTTGTATTGGAATGAATCTTGAGTTAGATAAGAGTGAGACACTAAACGTTTTACTTAATACAACGTATTTAAAACATTCATTAATTATTAATCTTTCTTATTATTAAGTCAGATTCGTTTCCAATATATTTTTTTTAAAAAAAATCAGAAAAAATCAAATCAAACCTCCTAAAAATCAGACCGTAACACATTAGCACGACATTTATCTATATCTATACTTAGTATTTAAAAACACAAATCATAATTCTATACTAAGCCACATGACATTGGAATCACTCATATACCATATGTCATCTCTCTTAATCAATAAAATGTCTTTTCATCTCCTAAACTTAAAACTTAAACCAATGTCATTTTATATCCACACAATATCCATGTATATATACCTAACTAATTCCAAAATAATATCGACACATATAATTAACACAAATATGCAACACATTTCAAGAAAAATAACCTAAATAACAACCCATGTATCCAACGGGGCAAATAACTGGTTTAAATTGAAAAAGGCATATTAAGCCTAAATACTTGGTCGAGGAAAGAAGCGCAAGCTAATAAAGGTCCCGCCTCCTCCCCCTCCCCTTTCCCTCCTCCAACATAAGGGGAGAAGAATGAAAACCAAAAAAAAATAAAATTAAAAATTAAAATAATACAGTAAAAAATAAATAAATAAAAATCTCGTCAACTCCAATGTTATACGAGTAATCCATTCCTACAAAAACTCTCACTCCAACCATCCTTCGTCGTCTTCCTTTCCGCCCTTTTCCTCCTCATTTTTCCTCCCTCCTTTTCCTCAACAAATTTCCTCCTAATTCCCAACAAAACCCTAATCATGTCCCAAATTTTCTTTCAATAATCCAAAATTTCCCCCAAAAAAATCACCATTCCACCCCAATTTCGTTTCATCTTCTACAATGGATCATCAATCGTTAACTGGGTCAACAACCCTTTCAATCGTTTCAAAACCAAAGGTTTACCGTCTCATGAACGGTGGTTGCTGCGGCGGAGGTGGTGGTGCTGGCGGTGGACCCCCTAAATCACCGCCGTCAATCTGGTTCGAAATCCGGTTGTTCTACGTTCGTATTGCACCTTGCGCCATTGACGCCGCACCAGATTACCTCACCCTCCGACACCTCCGCGATGAACTTGGAGTTTCCCTCGAAATCAATGGAAATCGTGTTCCTGCTTCTGAAACGGCGTCGTCTACGCTTCGAAAAGATCGTGTTGACAGAGAATCGTCAGAGGTTACTTACGTTAGCACCGACAACGTTAAGATCTCCGGCGGTGTGGAGTTTGAGGTTTGTGAGATGGATAATTTGCTGCTTTGTGGGTCCTTTGGAAGGTTCGAGAATGAGTGGAGTATGGATTGTTATGCCGGCGGTTCGTCGCCGTCTTCGTCGTCGGCGTTTTTTCAGCCGAAATTAGGGATTTCTTCACCGTCGATTGAGGTTTATGTTGCCGGAAGATGGTCGGATACGCCGGTGATATTGACGAAGATGATCAACTTCAGTCCTCGGAGAAAGTCGCCGAGGTATAGCACTTTGGATGCGATTCCGGAGGTTTCTGATGAGACTGAGAAAGATCAGAAGATTGTTGCTGTTAATGGTTTGATTCACCGGAAATTACAGGTAATTTATTTAATTCATTGATTCATATTGGATTTTGAATAAATTTTTGAGATTTTTGTTTTGATTTGTTTGTTAATATTGTGTTCCTGTACGTATTTATTTATTTTTGAATCATACTGTAAATGATATATTTGTATTGAGAATTTGAGATTTTATGGAAATGGAGATGCATTTTTATGTTTAATTTTTGGATTACTTAGATATGATATTTATGTAATTATGTTAGTATTTTAATGGAAGGTTAATGATGTTGTATCGGTAAGTTTTGGAATTGGAATGATTTTAAAATATTGACTGATAATTTGTGATATATCAACACTTCCACTTCCACTTCCACCTAAGAAGGTAGAAACACCTGTCACCTTGGCACGTAGTTAGCTGAGTTACTTATGTGGTGAGGAATTGATGAACGTAGTGGTAACATGCTCACCTTTATCGGAGTACGTGATCACGCTATTGATGAGAAATTATTAGATGATCGAGGACCACGGTGTTATTTATGATTCCGACTAATTACAAAGGATGCCAATATCACTGGTATCTTCGATGATGTAAACTTATTTGATTTGGAATCATCAAGGGTGTCACTTTACATTTGGACGGGATTATGAATGACTTGATGGTCCGAAACCATGTTATGATTTCTCATTCTTTAGGGAGTTGAATTATTGTAAGAAAACTGTTAGTTGGAGCATAATTTATTCATGAAGTTGGAAACATATCTAGATAATTGATTGCTCCTTTTAGCCTTAAGCAAGCAATAAAGCTAAATAATTTGTATGCCTAACAGTTGAAACTTGAAATGTCAGTGAGCTGATCTTGTGTGCTATTCTTACTAATTTCCTGTGTCTGGGCATTGAATTAGTAAATTTGAGTGACAAGGGGTACCAGCATGATTAGGCTTTTGGTTTATGATTTTTTTTTTTTAGAAGTGCTAAGGTGTTTCAGTGGGATGAAATCGACACCAGACATCCTCCCAATTATCTCTAGGCACTTTTTCAATTTCAATTATACTGTTGGTTTGATTGGTAGATTAATTTAACAGATAGCATGAGTAAAATTAGGGAAAGAAATTGAAAGTTGTTCATGTTGTTTTATATTTTTTGGAGGACTTCAAAGTAGGAAATATTGAGGATTTACTACTTTACATTGTCAGATCGGCTAGGGATAAGGTTGAACTCTTGACTTCCCCAGTGCTTGCTATGATGGATTTATACTAGAATTATTAGCTGTTGCCGTTGTAGGTACAGTAAATTCACCTTCTGACATCTTTTCACTAGCATTAGTTATTGTATCCTTTTGCTTGCCAAATCTAAAGGTTCAGAACTAACCTTGTACCTAACAAAGAAAACGGTTGTTTGTTGAAGCAATCATGACTAATTGCCCCTCTCAATTCCCTTGAGCTAACAAATTAAAGCCATTTTCCCTAGGCCTTAATTCTCACCCACTATCCAAATTTCATGGTTGAAAAACTACTACTTCCTCAAGCTGGCCTGGAGGCCTGGTGTGGGGTTTGTTTTTAACTTGCCAATGTCAAGCAAAGGTATAACATTGATTTTAAGACAGCTGCGGAGCTGCCTCACCTTGTCCTGTGTTGCTATTTTTTCCCTAAAAATATGTATTTGCATTTTGTGACGCCTCTATTTTTACTTGTGCCAATTTGTCTATTGCTTTCCACTTGTTTATTCATTACAAATGCAAAGTATACGTTTTTTTATTTTTAATTTTTTATATAATTTGAAGCAATTCTTGGTTATTGCAGATCACTGAGTCTGAAGATGAGTATGAAGCAGAGGGAAAGTTGATGCACAATTGGTATCCGGATGAGGTTTATGAAGGGGAGGATGGCCAACTCACTTGGTTCAATGCTGGAGTAAGAGTTGGTGTTGGTATTGGTCTTGGTATGTGTCTAGGAATTGGTATTGGTGTTGGATTACTTATGCGATCGTATCAAACCACCACCAGGAACTTCAGGAGGAGATTCTTCTGATTTTACATGAATGCTCCCTTTGCCTAAGAAAGGACTGCTGTAAAAAATAGGATTATGTTGCTACTGCAGCCGGACTCCATGCCGATGGATTATAAACCCACAACACTAATGTCTGTGTTTTCTCCTCAGATGGAGGCTAGAAACTGTACAAAATTGCAGTTAATATAAGCTAATAATATCAAGCAGTCAAGACAGTCACCAATCCACCACATACTTTCAGAAATTCCCGTGTAGCAAAGGTATGAATCATTTGAGTGAAATTTGGAGGTGAGTCTGTATGATACCATGAGAAAGTTAAGAAATCTGCATTTCACATTACTTTTTAGATAGTCATTAGGGTGTTTTGCAGTATGTATCCTAAATCTGGAACCATGAGACGGTGTTAAGCATTGTCCAGGAAGGTGGTGTATAAATTGTGTATCTGAGTAAGCATGTTAGCTTCCTGCATATATTGTTTCATTCTGTAGAGATAAGCAATTTTGGCATGTCCGTTAAAAGAGTGTATATTCTGTTTCACAGAATTTGTTAAGGTTGATGTCTTTGTTGTTAAAACAATAATGTGAGTGCCTCGTTTTCATGAATATATTTTAGCTTCGATGTGTTCCATTTCGAGTTATCAACTCCTCCTTGTGGCGTAGATAATTTCAATGATTGGGGTTAATAGCGTTGAAAGTTTCCTTAATATGTGATGCTTGGTAGTTATTTGTTTGGAGGCAGATTTTGTAGAGAAACAAGAGGCTGGTCTCTTAGGAAAATGAGAGGTTGGTACTTGATGCGATCCGGTGCACATTATAGGACCAGCATTAGATTTGGTCCCAGTATCATATTGGTCATGATGCAATATCAATTTGGCGGCCTTTATGTGATGTTGATTTAAATTCAATTGGTTGGTGATGGTTATGATGGTGATTATTTAGCTTTATTGTAGAAGTAGCATTGGATTTGACTAATTGAAGCAAGGTTATATGAGTAAATATGCTTATTGGTTATCCAAATCCTTGTAAAACGACAAATATGGAGAATTTTCGTCCTCTACTGAGGCCTTGTTTGGTTGACATGGGAATTAAATTTCCATAGGAACTTGCATTTCATGGGAAGTTATTTCCCTAATGAAATTCCTAGAATTTCCGAAATTTATTTGGTTGGCAATGTGGGAATTTAGAAATCCCATGAATTTTGATTGACCTAGGAGGGGTTAGGTTATTTACTTCCCTTGTTTTGTGGGAAGTTGAAATTCTCATGAATTTCCACTTCCTCATTTTTGCTTTTTTTTGTCAACCAAACAACTCCTCAATTTATCAAATTCCATGAATTTCCATTTCCCCCATTTTATGCTGTCAACCAAACAAGGCCTTAATGTTGTGGCTATCGCTCAATCCATATGTGAAAATAATTAATTATGTTTTGTTAGATGCAGACTTTTCTTGGTTTTTCAACAACCATAATTAGAAGTGGCAGTGTCACATGAATTAGTAGTGTTAGTATGGCCTCTACTTCCAAGCCCCATGTGACATGGTATGGCACTCCTTCAAGAAAAAAGGAAAAGTGTCGTGTCTAATTGTAAGGATTTGATTTATCAAGCTAGGCTTGGTCTGGGGTTAAGTGTGATACGGCACTGGTGCATCACTTATTTTAAATAAATGTTAGGATTTGACTTGAAATAAAGTATTTTTAAGTTGCGAATTGCAAACTGAACTTTGGACTCGAATTGTCACTTCTGAATAAGTTTCTTAAAATGGATAATGATTGGTGAAACATGAAGTACTTTGTATGATACAATCGTACACTTTAACTTTGTAAACGGATATGTTTAAATGGATGTTATATGGGTAATCTACTAATTACGAAGGATATGAATATTGAAAAACAAAAAATTAATAGTTGTTATGAAATATTTGTGGATATCCATTATCCTTCTTGTATCATTCCGGAACATTCTAGATCTAGGGTTTATTGTTATCTAAGCAAACCCTAGTTATATTGTATATATATATATATATATATATATATATATATATATATATATATATATATATATATATATATATATATATATATATATATATATATATATATATCCGTACTCTATGGAATAACAAGCTGATCTATTCTCTCTCCATCTCTCATATTTTTCTCCTTATTTTATAACACGTTATCAGCACCATTACTCTAGATTGATTTCAATATCAATTGAAGCATCTCAAAACGACAATCAAAGTAACTCCCAACATACTCTCAAATTTTCCCCAATACTGCTACCTCTTGATTTCACGAACACCAACCAGAAAGGTAATTTCCCAAACCCCTCTGCCGAAACCACCGTTGCTCTGCCGATACCATCGATTCTTGTTCGTCGGGCTTGTTTGTACTCGTTCTTGCACTTCTAATTTTAAGGTAACTAGTACTATCCCTTAGATTAGATTTCACCTAGTTTAGAATGCATGATTTAGGCTTACCTTGTATAAAATCGGTTTTTAATTTGACGAAATTATGGACTGTTTTCCCCCTACCGATTTTACGCGACTTATATGCATCATGAGCCTGCTATCTTCCAGTTTCTTGTCTAATTTTCAAGAATCAAAATCCATGTATAAATTATGATCATTGTAGTTGATAGCTATTTGTGCATTTCGGTTTCGTGGTGTATTTATATCACTTAGATTTGATGATTTCATGGGGTTTATGTGAAACAGGGAGTTGACTTTCATAACTTATAATGATTAAATTAGTTGTTTGAATCTTAGTTTAATAGGGTTATGGTTTTAATTGATATAATTGGTGTTTTATGAAGTATAGAACGGTTTCGAGGAGTAATTTAGAGTGAGTTGTTGCCTGCAATTTGTGTGAAAATAGCATGGGATTATTACCCTGATATAAAAGTTAATAATCAGATTTCATGTGTTGTGGCGTTGAAAATTTGTAGAAAGGTGTAATCAATTTGATAACAGTTAATTGGCCATGAGTTTTCCTAATTCTTGTTTGTTAATTTGGTTGATTAATAGTTTTCTCTGGGTGTTACTGGTATTGACTCAAATTAGAAGCCTAATTTAGGTGATGGTGGATTTTATTAGTGATTATTATTATTATTATTATTATTATTATTATATATATATATATTTCATCTTAGTTCCTAATTTATAATATTGTTTTAAATATCAGTGAATCATGTCAAACCTTGCAAAACTCGAATTTGTTGCTCTTGATATTACTGGAAACAACTATTTGTCTTGGGTGTTAGATGCTGAAATACACTTAGAAGCAAAGGAACTTGGTGATACTATTAAAGAAAACAATATTGCAACAAGCCAAGATAAGGCTAAAGCTATGATATTCCTTCGCCATCACCTTCATGAAGGCCTTAAGACTGAGTACTTGACTGTTAAAGACCCACAAGTCCTTTGGAGTAATCTAAAGGAAAGGTATGACCACCAGAAAACTGTGATATTACCAAAAGCTCGTTATGACTGGTTACATTCAAGATTACAAGACTTTAAGTCTGTGAGTGAATACAATTCAGCCATGTTTAGAATTACATCAATATTGAAATTATGTGGAGAGAAAATCACGGATGCAGAAATGTTAGAAAAAACATACTCTACTTTTCATGCAAACAATGTTGTCCTGCAGACACAATACCGTGAAAAGGGTTTTACAAAATATTCTGAATTGATATCTTGTCTTCTTGTGGCTGAGCAAAATAATGAACTATTAATGAAAAATCATGAATCACGCCCAATTGGCTCCACTCCATTCCCTGAAGCGAATGCAACATCCCATAGTGGGAAAGAGCAAAAGGATAGAGATCACGCCAGCAGTCGTGGTCGAGGCCGTGGTCGAGGTCGTAGTCGCGGCCGCAGACGTGGACATGATCGTGGTCGAGGTGGTCATTTTAGAAACTCATACTCTCACCAGAAGTGGGACAATAAAGAAGGAAATAAGAATGAGAAGGATAAATATGAAAATATATGCTACCGTTGTGGAGGAAAAGGCCATTGGTCTCGTGTGCGTCGTACACCAAAACATCTAGTAGACCTTTATCAACAATCAATCAAACAGAAAGGAAAGTGGAAACAAATTTGGTGTACGAGGATGGCGAAGGTGATTTTGATTACGGTGATAAAACTCACCTGGAAGCAGCTGATTTCTATCCTAATTCTGAAGAAAATAATTGAATAAATTATGATCCATTGGCGAATAAACTCTATTAATTAGCTTGCATTTATTATAGAATTTTATCGTAGTACTATGATTTTATGCTTTATGGGACATTTGTTTTTGGATTTTTTTTTTATGTTATCGGATATTTCATTATTATTATTATCAGTCATTTATTAATTTAAGTTATTTGGTTTAGTGAATATTATTTTAGTTCCTTTAATTCTATTACAATATTAATTTGAGAACTTTTAGTATAAAGGTTCATATAATTGGGCAAGAGGAACGAATATGAGTCGTATGAGAATCATTTTACTTTGCTTGATACATGCATTGATAAAAGAATTTATGGCTTAAAAGGTGCAAGAGATTTAAAGGTAGTTGGATTAATTTAATGCCCCCACATGCAAGGATTAGGGGGAGATAGTATTTATATCATTATTTTATGTAATCCTTGCACATAAATAATAAAATATATTGATGGTCAGTTTGATACATACATTAACTTAAATATTAATGTTTTATTTAATAAAAGTGGCCACATGTTAATTAATATATTTCAAAATGATACTATCCTGAAGATGGATATGAATAGATTTCATCCCTAAAGAACGCTTAAAGCGTGGTAGCCATAGCCGAGCCTAATGGATTTCGAATATAAGAATCTTCAAAAAAAAAAAAAAAAAACAATTATTGACAATAGCAAATTTGAGGAAGTAATACATTTTGATAGATCTTTATAGAGATTATATTTAGTAAAACGGATATGTATCATGATTATATAGAGTACTCTAGAAGAGTATAGAATTATCCAACAAGCTTAGCATTTATCAAGATTATAGTCAAAACTCCAGCAGAGTATAAAATTTTTGGATCAAGTATTAGTTGATTGTCTTGCCAATTATATAAAGAAACACATTTTGGTGTTCTAATATCACATCATATTCATGGTCATGCATAAAGTAATTTAAGCAAAGTGATCACTAGTGTTGGAATACTGACTAGAGTTCAAATTTAGAGAAGTGACTGGATGTGATAATTAAATTAGGCCATCCGGGTTTAATAATTACCCGTTATAGAAACTTGAAGTTTCATTTAATAATGTGCTGACGCTCTCTCAATGTTGCATATATGAAATGAGTTAAATGGCAAGACATAACATTGAGATTAAGCTATTATTGAATAGTGATTTATAATAATTTGTATTAATGAAAATGTCAAGAGTAATGGGTGACCAGAAGTTCACCAGAATCTCACCAAATACTCTATTTAAATCTTTAAAGATCTCGAAGATGACTACCTAGTTGAATTCCAAGCAAGTGATTTATGCTTGTATAATAATTCTTTTGATTGGGGCTATTATATGTCAGCACATAAGAAATTGGAAAAGAAAGAAAAATGTACAACTGCACGACACATATCTCCCCATTGACATTGATCTCCAGAAGAGAACATAT